TTAAAATATAATAAATAAAATAAGTTATGTTAAATTAATTAATTAAATGAAATTAATTAATAAATTAGAAAAATAAAAAAAATAAAAATAAAAAAAAAATAAAAATAAAAATAAAAATAAAAATAAAAAATAAGTAAATTAAATAGAAATAATATTAAACAAGATAAACACAAAATGAAAAGAATATGAAAAATAAAATAAAATAAAATAAAATAAAATAAAAAAATAAAATAAAATAAGGAAGACACAAACACCACCATAATAATAAAACTAATAAATATAAAAATAAAAATAAAAATAAATATAAAAATAAAAATAAAAATAAAAATAAAAATAAAAAATATAATAATAGATAAAATAATATGATAACAATAAATACTAAAAATAAAAAATAATAAAAAGACAACAACTGAAACAACACCAACAACAAAGAAAAATAAAAAAAATAAAAAATAAAAAAACAAAAAAAAAAATAAAAAAAAATAAAAAAAGAATAAGCAAACTAAAGAAACAAAACAAAAAAAAAATAAAAAAAAATAAAAAAATAAAAAAATAAAATAAAAAATAAAAAAAAATAAAAAAGAAGAACCTTCTATATATTTATCTTCGATTTGTTTATAAGTGGTGCCGCTCAATTCTTTTTTTATTTTTTGTTTTATTTCTTCATTTATTTTTGCTTCTCCTTTTGTCTCTGCTATTTTTTGTTTTTTTTCTGTTGCTGCTGCTGCAGCAGAGTTTAATATAAACTCCACTGTTGCTGCTGCCACCTGCTGCTGCAGCTGCTCCTGCTGCTGCTGCTGCTGCTGCTGCTGTTGCTGCTGCTGCTGATGTTGTTTTGCTGCTGCTGCTGCGATGCTGCTCTGCTGCACTAGCGCAGCTATCCCTTGCTGCAGCGTCTGCTGCTGCTGCTGCTGCAGTGCATGCACAGTTTGCTGCTGCAGCTCTAGCTGCTGCTGCTGCCTTTTTACATCTATACTGGATCGTATCTGCTGCAGCAGCAGCTGCCCCTTATCAAAAGCAGCATTCAGCTGCTCTTGCTGCTGCTGCTCCTGCTGCAGTGCTGCTGTCAGTTGCTGCTGCTGCTGCCGCAGCTGCTGCTGCCGCTCACCACTTGCTGATGCTGCTGCAGCAGCAACTGCTGCCTCAGCCTCCTCCACACGCTGCTGCTGCTCTTCTATTGATGCAGCAATCCTGCAACACAAACAGCAGCAGCAGCAGCAGCAGCAGCAGCAGCAGCAGCAGCAGCAGCATTAGTACTAGCTGGTTGTATGGGTGTGTATGCAGCTGACACAGTTTGCTGCAGGACATCTTCATCCTGCTGCTGCTGCTGCTGTTGCT